CCCGACTTCCCCGAGTCAGCCGCTCGTCAGTTTTAGCAGCAGCTGAATCGGGGAAGCTGGGGGCAGAGCAGCTCCAATGGTCCGGAGCACTTCCGGGTTCCTGATGGTGCTGGACCATCAGAGTTTTACTGTACAATGTATTTCAGAGTGTTGGTCTGTTTGTGCGTGTGTCTGTCCACCAGCTGTGCCAACTGCTGTGGACATGGACCGACACTCCTAACCTGGCCTCAAGCTGCCGCAGTGAAAGAGGGCTGGGGTTGTCCTCTCTCCCCAGGCAGCCTGCATACTGAACCCCTCCTAGAATCATAGCACATTAGAACTGGAAGGGACCTTGAGAGGTCATTGAGTCCAGTCCCCCTGCTCTCATGGCAGGACCAAGCATCTTGAGCCTCACTCTAGAACACTGATTTAAATGAAGAAAACCAAAACTTATTTGAGTTAAGGACCCAAGCAACTCTTCTAGCATTAAATCTTTTAGTATTAAATATCTGATAAAATATTCTAGCAGTTATCTCCCCACCCTGAAATATTCACAGACAAGAAAAAGTCAAGACCCAAATGAGAGTCATTTTCTCCCTTGTCTGAAAAGGGGTTTCCCCATAAAACTGCCCAAAAGGTCTCCATCTATCGGGAACCACTCAAGGGCAGGATTCCTCTCACACACTTCTAAGATTAACCCTTATCAGAGACATTTCTTTTCTGAAAGTCTATAAGGTTAGGACAAAGCCCATTTTCTCTTTTATATACTAATTAGGAACTTACCTTGACACTCCTCTTCTCCTCGGAGCCTTCAGTAAGTAGGAAGGCATCCTGACCCTCCGTCCCCTCCACACGCAGGAAACAGTTAGTGGTGTGTCCAATCCCGGAGGGAAGGACTTTATCCCACAGCATAGCATTTATCACTGTGCTTTTTCCATTGCTCGTCCTGGGGTTAAATGCAGAATGGTTCACTAGGGCATCAAAGACACAGCTGTGCTCTTTGCATACTATAGCCACTCAAATCTCATGTCCCAACCAGCTCCAGAAAGTGGTAAGTCATATATTAGAAACATTCTATCAGTATAGGAACACTGAAATACCTACCACACAAGAGCCCTCCTAACATGGATGTTTTGTTAAGCATAGCCAATTCTATCTTCTCTGATCAAACAAGCCATACAATAATGCAGTTGTGTTGGTATATCTCAGTGTATAACTGAGGCTTCTGCTGGCACATATATGTTGATTAGAGGCCACACTTCATCACACTGTCAGAACTGTGTTAGAAGCAGCTGCTCAATGTAAACATGACTGTAGCGTATTAGCTGCCATATGCAACAGGTTGATGAATCAGTTTACTTTACTTTCTTCTTTTAAAATTTCTTCTAATCACAGTGAAAGATTTGAAGCACAAGTGAGAGAATACCATGGATGATCAGGCTTTTACATTTCAGAGTCTGGATAGTTTGTGCTCCTATAAATACTTTTCACTGGCCAATCCTAAAGATCTCAGTTGCTTCATCAAGAAGAGTCCAGAAAACACAAGTATGTGACTTACCTGCCAAAAAAAGCCACTTTCATGTGTCGCCGTGCCAGCACCTCACTAATGCCACTGACTTTTGACAGGTATCCTTTGACTTCCAATACCTGCTCTTCTGTGGTGACAGGGTCAAGTTCCACATTTCTGTGTGTTTCTAAAATGCAAATAAACCACACATACAAATCTCAAAAGTAATTTTCTCAACAGCAACTGGTCAAAATAAATCCAAATGAATCTAATCTAAGTCTCTGGAATATAGTTATATATTTGTGTGGCAATCAGACCCTGCTTGTTTGAAGGCCACACAAGTATACCTTGCCTATACCCTGAAGTCAGGCTGTTAAAACAGTGCCCCTCTCTCAACTGCTATTTCTGTTGTAGCCAATATTTCACAAACACACACCCTGGAAGATGCTTAAGTAGATTGCTGTACATTTATTAATCTGTTAATGCAGAAATTGCCATATGTGACATTCATATTTTGCCAGCAATGAGATGTCAGGACCATAAGAATCAAAGGATTAAAGACAGGCTACTTTTTTTTGTCCTGTGTACAAGACTAATTTCCTTGAATTGTTTTTTAATATCAGCTCAAATATAACTATAATCGGAGATCAACTTTAACATTCAGAAACCTGTACCTTCATCCAAATTTAATGCAACTTCATCTCTTTTATATGTATACAGGTCTAATGATCACATTTAATCTAGCGTTTTTGTATGTTGTACTGAAATAAACAAAGCATTACTGTACACATGATGGCGCGTTACTCAGGGATACAACTTACCTTCCAGGAATGTGGCACTCTCCTGAATATATGCGGCCAACTGTTCAAAGATGCCGTTTATTTTCTTCTTGGCAGTGACAAAATGTTTGAGTGGAGAAGCATTTACCTCGGCCATGTGTCTTTTATCCTTCTTCACAGCTACTATGGATTTGGAGCAAGTGAACAGCAGGGACATTGCGCTGTGAGGGAAAAAATTTAATACTATACAATTCCTTAAAACACTAATTCCTGCCCACCTGAAGTTCATCTTGTTACAAAGAGTCTATAAATTTCACAGACATAAGTGCCTGAGTAAACAGATCAATGTGACTCAGACTGGTTAATGCAGTCCAGATTTTTTGTATGGACAATTTAAATTTTAAAATCTAAATTTGATTGAAATTTTTGTTTCATGTGATATTTAAAGCATCAGCCTACAGTCACTGAGAAACTCACCCAGATTGTTCCGTAATGTAATCAGCTACATCCATCTACTCTGAGAAAAGATAAGCATACTTACATATTATGGCAGCTATAGAATCATAGATTCACCAGGGCCTGATAAAAGGCATCCTAGAATACTCAAGGAGCTGATATCTGAGCCTCTAGCTATCATCTTTGGAAAATCACAGAAGACAGGAGAGTTTCCAGAAGACTGGAAAAGGGCAAATATAGTGCCCATTTATAAAAAGGGAAATAAGAACAACCCAGGAAACTACTGACCAGTTAGTTTAACTTCTGTGCCAGGGAAGATAATGGAGCAAGTAATTAAGGAAATCATCTGTAAGCACTTGGAAGGTGGCAAAGTGATAGGAAACAGCCAGCATGAATTTGTAAAGAACAAATCATGTCAAATTAATCTGATGGCTTTCTTTGATAGGATAACGAATCTTGTGGATAAGAGAGAAGCGGTGGATGTGATATACCTAGATTTTAGTAAGGCGTTTGATACGGTCTCACATGATATTCTTATCAATAAACTAGGCAAATACAACTTAGATGGGGTTACTATAAGGTGGGTGCATAACCGTACTCAGAGAGTAGTTATTAATGGTTCACAATCCTGCTGGAAAGGTAAAACAAGTGGTGTTTTGCAGGGGTCTGTTTTGGGACTGGCTCTGTTCAATATCTTCATCAACGATTTAGATATTGGCATAGAAAGTACGTTTATTTATTAAGTTTGCAGATGATACCAAGCGGGGAGGGGTTGCGACTGCTCTGTAGGATAGGGTCATAATTCAAAATGATCTGGACAAATTGGAGAAAGGGTCTGAGGTAAACAGGATGAGGTTTAATAAAGACAAATGCAAAGTGCTCCACTTAAGAAGGAACAATCAGTTTCACACATACAGAATGGGAAGCGACTGTCTAGGAAGGAGTATGGCAGAAAGAGATCTAGGGGTTATGGTGGACCACAAGCTGAATATGAGTCAGCAGTGTGATGGCAAAGAAACAAACATGATTCTGGGATGCATTAACAGGAGTGTTGTGAGCAAAACACGAGAAGTCATTCTTCTGCTCTACTGTGCACTGGTTAGGCCTCAGTTGGAGTATTGTGTCCAGTTCTGGGCACCACATTTCAGGAAAGATGTGGAGAAATTAGAGAGGGTCCAGAGAAGAGCAACAAGAATAATTAAAGGTCTAGAGAACATGACCTATGAAGGAAGGCTGAAAGAATTGGGTTTGCTTAGTTTAGAAAAGTGAAGATTGAGGGGGGGGACATGAGAGCAGTTTTCAGGTATCTAAACGGGTGTCATAAGGAGGAGGGAGAAAACTTGTTCATCTTGGCCTCTGAGGATAGAACAAGAAGCAATGGGCTTAAACTGCAGCAAGGGAGGTTTAGGTTAGGAACTTTTTCCTAATGTCTAACTGTCTGGGTAGTCAAACACTGGAATAAATTGCCCTGGAAGGTTGTGGAATCCCCATCTCTGGAGATATTTAAGAGTAGGTTAGATAAATGTCTATCAGGGATGGTCTAGACAGTATTTGGTCGTGCCATGAAGGCAGGGGACTGGACTTGATGACCTCTCGAGGTCCCTTCCAGTCCTAGTATTCTAGGATTCTATAGCTGCCATTACCATAGTATCTTAAGACAGGGCTGGGCGAGATGCAGCCCAGGGGCCAGATCAGAGGCAGCAATGTGAGGCGGCAGGGGCCAGTCCTCAAGAGGAGCTGGCTTCTGAACAGACTCCCCTTGCGGACCAGCTGCCACCTGCTCTGATACAGAGGCAGCAGTGCAGGGTGGCAGGGGAGTTCCCAGGAGCGGAGCTAGGAGCACACTGGCTGCTGCCCCTGCCCCTGGGGACTACTGAATAGTCATGTAATAGCAAAGTTTTGATGCAGCTACACGACTATTCCATTACCCGATATCTAACATCCCTAATTTCTAGAAGTGCTATTAAACAGACATCTCAAAAAAGTCCCTTCAACAGCTACCCTAGAGCCCCCTGCAACTGTGTTGCAATATGAAAAAGTCCTTCTGAGGGGCCCTTATGGAAAGAGTATAGCCGGTCCCCAAGTTACAAACACCTCGATTTACGACTGTTTGAATTTACGACCAACCTCATATACAGCCAGTCCCCGAGTTACGAACAAAATCCGCACTTACAAACAGCATGGCCTCACGTAAGTGAATGTAATCTGATTTATGAACAGATCGAGTTATGACCTAGTGTTTGGTACGTAACTCGTTCATAAGTCGGGGACCAGCTGTACCCTTTTTGATTAACTGTGACAGAGCATGTAGCCCACTAAGGGTACGTCTACACAGCAACGTTATTTTGGAATAAATGACGTTGTTCCAAAATAACATAGTGCAAGTCTACACTACAAGCCTTTATTTTGAAATAATGTTGAGCTGGAGGACTTCTTACTCCGATTCATGGTAACCCTCAATTCACAAGTAAGGGAAGTTGAAGAAAGTGTTCTTCCTTCAACTTCCTGCTATGTAAACAGCACCAAAAGCCAAATTAAGCTATTTCAACTTAAGCTACACAATTGACATAGCTGAAGTTGCATAGCTTAATTTGACTTTAGGCCTTCTGTGCAGATGTACCCTAAAATAGCTCATGCATAGATGCCCATAGTGATGCCCTCCCATCCTCCCTTTTATGAACAGACCTTCCCAACCCAGTGACACTGCCCCTTCTAGAGGAAGAGGGAGGTGCTGCAAGCCTAGCTTACTTTTAGGATGAGCCTTAAGTTTTCACAAGCCAGGCATGGTCCGCTCCCTCTGTCCTAAGTGCCAATGACTGCTTTCCACTCTGGAGGGAGCAGCTCCTGCGTTGATCGTGGATTCAGCCTGACCCGTCACAGGAGGAGCAAGATCAGATGGTGCACAGAGATCCGTGAGACTTTGGTGCGATTGGCCGTAGGGACAGGCAGCCCAGGGTCTTCCACACTAGGGATGTAAAATCCCATGTAAATGGTTAACCAGTTAAACTATAGGTTTAACTGGTTAACTGCCCACTGTGTTGCAGGCAGGCAGCCACTGGAGCAGCCTGTCACCCACAGTGCAGTAGGCTCTGCTAGGGAGACCCAGGGAGAGGGCGGCTCCAGCTGGCCAGGTGCCAGTTAACTGGTTACCCCGTAAGCATGCTGGTAAAGCAATGCTTACTGGTTAACCCTTTACACATCCCTATAGCACAAAACAGGACCATCTGTAGGGGGCTGCTGGGCCTGGGACAACATCCTCCATGCCAGAACCTGACTCTTCCCCATTCCACCGCTCCCCCAAACCTCCTCCCATTAGCAATGCCTTCCAGGGGACTAGCAGCAAGATTTGAGCCAGCCTCTGCAGAGTGACTCAATCCTAGCCCACTCCGTGGGGTCTCTGCTTCCCGCCACCAACAAGTGGGGTGCAGTTCCATTTCAGAGTGCTGGGGCCCAGTCACTCCACTTCCTCCTACTGCCAGTGAAGGTGGGAGTGGGCCCAATCCTTGCATCACCAGGCCCACAGCTAATCCCTCGGGCTGCCGTGGAGCAGTGGCCCGAAACCAAGCAATGAATTGGATGGCTCTGCACGTGAGTGTGCACAGTATGGATGTGGGCATGACATAGCCTGCCTCCAACACCCTCCCCAGGCATAACACTCTGTGCATGCACAGACACCCTGACTCAGTCTTGAAGCTAGGAGCATGCACACCCTTCCCTTCCCTCATGCTCTATTTACAGTATCCACACCCTGAGCTCACATGGCACCAACACATGCATTAGCATGCATACCCTGACCCCACCCTGCAGCATGCATACCAAGCACACATGCGATGCACACGTGTGTGCGCACACCCTAACCCTGACCCGCCTCAGCGCCCTGCCCACATTGTGCATGTCTTGAGCCCGCATGCCGCGCTCACGAGTATACACAGCCTCGGGCTAACAATTTTGGTGGGCGCTATTCCTGGAGGTTTCCTCACATGGGAGGGCTGCCAACCTTAACCCTGACCCCGCCCTCCCCCGTGCCCTGAACGCAGTGTGCACACTGAGCCCGCGTGCCATGCACAAGTGTGAGCGTGCCCCACATTGTGCATGTCTTGAGCCCGCATGCCGCGCTCACGAGTATACACAGCCTCGGGCTAACAATTTTGGTGGGCGCTATTCCTGGAGGTTTCCTCACATGGGAGGGCTGCCAACCTTAACCCTGACCCCGCCCTCCCCCGTGCCCTGAACGCAGTGTGCACACTGAGCCCGCGTGCCATGCACAAGTGTGAGCGTGCACAAGTGTGAGCGTGCACGCCCTGCACCGCCCCCCTCCCGCCTAGAACACCAGGGGGCTCGCG